CTGCTGTAGATATTAAGAATGTAAAAGTTATAACTTAGAAAATTAATAATAAGCAGAATAATTCTTGTAGAAAGCAGAATTACGCATTTTTTAAATAAAAAAAGAATACTTTTGTATCTTTACCAATCCAACTCTTTTTACGCGTTAAAATGATTTGTGTAAGAATGAAAAAAATTGCCGTCAAATTCTATGGATTAAAAAACCATTATTTTAAAAAAATCGTATTAAAAAATACACGAATGCAAAAGATATTTTTATGTGGCAGATACGTTTTAGCTAAATAATAAGCTAAATAATAAGAAATCGCGTTTTTAGAAAAAAACCGTGTAGAAAGAAAAATATGTACATAAAAGAGTTAAATATATTAGAAAAGTATGCATAGAATATGTATATTATATGATTCACAGTATTTAAATCATTTGTACGTTACTGCAGACACGGTCGATCCAAGCAGCTATCATCTATGAATCATTCAATCGATTATAGTTGCAGTCAGTAATTGATCTCTAATGTTAAAAGGTTGTTACAACCATTATGATTCACCCTGTATTTTATTAGAAAATATAATATACAAAAATTTGTAGTAATTTGCCTTTATTTGAGTTAAAATAAAATTATATTCAAATATTTAACGAAAGAGATCGTAAAATCGAGCGATCGTTACGATGAGCGTGAAATATTTACGCTCACTTGCCGGTAATTAATCGGCAAAAGAAGGAGTGTTTATACCGGTAATTAATCGGTAAAAGAAGGAGTGTTGTTTCCTTTTTCGATCTCTGATTAGAGATCGAGCGAGAAAGTGGCCAAGATCAACGAAAGGTAAATTTTAACTGGCCTGAAGAAAAGATTTACGTACAATAGCTCGTAATGTCGAACATTTATTCACGCGGTTAGGGCATGCGGTTAGAGAATGTAATTAGGGCACGTAATTTAAAATATACGTGATTAGAGATAGGCTCGCATAATTTCACTTAATCGAGAAATAGGATTGTTAGAGCTATCAGATGATTATTAAGATTTTTTAATTTTCCTTTCAAGAAGTAGAGGATTGTTAGGATTATTATGTGATTAATTTAGGTGATTAATATATTATATATCTGTTAAAGAATCAGGAAATGTAGGTTTAAATAATATTAGGGAAAACAGATTAATAAATATTTCAATAATTATAATTAATAAAAAAAAATATAAGACTCGAAATATAAAATTAAACAAATCAGTTTTAATGGCAATACGAGTCAAGTGTCGATCTTATAACACAATTATTTTTTATACAATTAAATAAGTATGGAACAAATTATAAAGAAAAGTTAGCGAATGTTTCTACCCTATTTTTGGGCCATCTTCAGCGTAAATGTGATGTCAATTACAAAGTGTGCCGTCTAAAGTAATAATAAACGCCTCGGTATCTCATTATTTTGACGATGTCTGTAATAAAATCAGTCAAATTTGTCAAAGAAAAAATTATTTAAAATTAAAAAACAAAAAGTGAAATAAATTAAATAAATAATGTAAACTAAAAATAAATAAAAAAATAGAATAATGTAAAAAAAAGGATTGTTAGAACTATTAGGTGATCATCAAAAATAAAATAATGTAAAAAGGAAGGGATTGTTAAGGCTATTAGATGATCATTAATTTTTTTAGGAAGAGACAAGTATGACAAGTGATGATAATTTTTGATGTTAATACAAAGGAATACAATAAACCATAATAATCCAAGAACTCGAAGAAGAGAATATATTGGATAGAAATGCATAGTGATTGGAAACTGAAAGACAGTATGCATACAACCTATTTATTAATAGTAATACTATTTTGTAACTATATTAAATTTTATAATTTAGTACATTGTATTATATGAAGTATTAAGCATACAAGTTATACTGGTATGAAAATTATAATAAAAATATATAAATAACGTTAGCTATATTAGAATGGAACATATGAATTCTTTATATAGTCAAATCTTAATTAAGTGAGATCGCAAAGGACAGCTCATTTGATTCCACTTAAAGAGGTATCTCACTTACCCAATTTCTCAATTATCCAAGTTTAAAACGCATATGTCTCACTTATAAAGATAATTATTAAATAAAAATACGTACATAAATTAAGTGTTCAAATAAACTTTATTATAATAAAATAAGCACTATGTCATCACACATGTCAAAAAATGTACAATGTAATGCATTGTAAAAAAATTTTATTTAAAAAATATCTGTTATTTTCGATAACGCCATACACAACGTTGCAATGTAAAAGCGATAATAATCTTATTTACAGAGGTTTTCTATGGGGTTATAGAGGTAATTGATGTTATGAATTGCTAAATATCAGTTTCAGTTAAAGAGGTTGGGCTTTCCTACTTATTACAGAGGTTTTTTGATGCAAAAATGTTGGGTCCTCAGAAATAGTCTCAATAATAGAGATTTTCCCCTTATCTAGGTCCCACTTAATCAAGTTTAACTGTATTTTATATAGAGGAAGAGACTTAAAATATTTTGCAACATCTATACTTTTCGAGTCTTGATTATAAAAACTTCAGAAGAATCAGTGATATTAATTTGACAAATTCTATACATATATTAATAATTAAATTTTTAAATAATTAAAAAAATGATTCATAAATATCAAAGATCAGTTTACTGTTAATTAAGAAGATTTATATAAAGACGATTAAAAATGTTTTTATTCCACAGCAGGCATTTTGTGTTTTGTAAATAAAAAGATATAAATATGACAATGAATATAGAAAAATATTTATTTCATTTTTGAATATTACAGTATCTTTCGCGATTGAATAATTTATTTACTATCAATTTACATACATAAGTATCTTGTTATACAGCACTGTGTTTTCAATGACTATAGAGGGAATATTTCAGGGATCACCTAAAAGCAGGCCATGACATCTCTCAGTCTTCTCTCTGGTAACATTTTCCGTCTGCATCGCCCGATACCAAGTAGCTGTTTTTTTGAAAGAAAAACATTAATATTTTATTAAATATGCTTTTGTATAAAATAAATGTATATATGTAATGGTGCAAAGTGTAAAAAATATGTTTGCAAAAAAAAAATATGTCATAAAAAAGGCAGTATTATTAATTTCAATATATATATATATATATATATATATATATATATATATGTCATTATATTATTATTTCATTATGTTTACTCAAGTCATGAATTAATAACAAATATTAAAATTTGAAGCATTGTGAAAAATGATATTCAAGATGTTTGCAGAAAAAAAATTTGCATTTTTAATTGTAAAATATTCTATTTGTATCAAAACTTGTGATATTTAAGGAAACAAAAAAAACTATCCTGAATATTTTTGATTAGTGCTTTTATGTGTACATGTATCCAATGATTTATTTAATTATATTTCTTATACAAGTGACTCAACTGCTAAGTTATAAGTTCATAAATAAAAGTTTGAATAATAATGACTTTTGCATTTTACTACGAATACATATATAAATAATTTAACTATACAGGTCTGATTGACTTTGAAAATAGATATTTCCAGTATAATTATGGCTGATCATTGTCCACACTTCAAATCTACTAATAACTTGAAGCAGAATTTGGATGGACTTGTATAATTTGACATTTGAATCACTCATAATTCCTCTTTGATATAAAATCTTACAAGAATTACAAAATCTGAATAAATTTTGTTCTTTTTTGCTATGTTAATATTATAATTTATATTTATGAAATATAAAACTTTTTAAAGTTCTCATTTATATCTTGTATGATTCATATTAAAGAAGCTATTCTAGTCAAAAGAAATTGATCAAAGAGATAAATTTTATATATAAAATATAATGTTTATATTACGATAACTAGCAAATGTTCTTCTTTGATTTTCAAACTGAAAAGGGTTAATATATGCATAATACACATATCCAGAAAGTATATTTTCATCTGCATGCTGCTGCTGAATTTTGAATGGATTTTCTGGACCAATCTCTGGTCCTAAAAGTTCCTCATACTTTAAATTTGATGTTATTTCTGTAATGATAGGATTCATATACTTCATACAAAAATTCATTCTCTAAAAAATGATAGAAACATATAAATCTTATGTATTTTTATTCGTCAAAAATATCAATAAACTGAGTGTTAATGAAAAGCAACTTATGAAATGAGATCTTATATAGTTTAATCATTTTTTAAATTACTTAAAAAATTTTTTATTCGTTGAAGACATCAATAAATTGAGTGTAAACAGAGAACAACCTATGAAATGAAGACTTAATATGTGGTTTAATAATTTCTTAAATTATTTAAAAAATTTTTTATTTGTTGAAGACAGCAATAAATTGAGTGTAAATGGAAAGCAACTTATAAAATGAGGTTTTATATGATTTAATCATTTTTTAAATTACTTAAAAAAATTTTTATTCCTTTAAAATATCAATAAATTGAGTGCAAATGGAAGGCAACTTATAAAATGAGATTTCTTATATGGTTTAATCATTTTTTAAATTCCTTAAGAAATAATATTTTATTTGTTAAAAACATCAATAAATTGAGTGTAAATAGAAAGCAACTTATGAAATAAGGTCTTATATGGTTCAATCATTTTTGTTTAATTACTTAAAAAATTTTGTATTCGTTGAAGTCATCAATAAATTGAGTATAAATAGAGAGCAACTTACATAAATATGAAGAGAATACTCGACTGTGATTGGTCAATTTCTTAAGGCTTAAGGCTTAAATTACCTATTGTAGATCCGGCCTAAAGCGTGCGCATGTATTTATACATTTGATGTAAACGCAGTCGAATTAAACATTTGGTGCGCATTACTTTTGATTCGCGTATCAAAAGATGTACGGTGTAAACCAGGCCTGTGATTGGTCAATGAAAGGTTACATTCTTCAAAAGAACGGCTGTGATTGGTCAATGCATAGTTACATTTTCAGAAGAACGGCTGTGATTGGTCAATGCATAGTTACATTTTCAGAAGAACGGCTGTGATTGGTCAACGTCTAGTTCATTTAAAAACGCTACTAAAAATTACTACTCGCTGGAATGTGACAGTTGGTAGTAGTGGCCGCGGTTTATCCACTTTTCTCTTGCATGGTTCTTTCGCTTCCGGAAAATCATGGTAAGTGAATAGAAAGCGATCGTTGAAATTCGGCAATATTATATCGTCGTATTAAAATCGTAACGAACGGCATTCATTTTTTCACAATTTTTTCGCTTCCCTCGCGCTATCATACTCGAATTTTATTATTTTCGAGCAACGCGAAGATCTCACGCAAGATTATCAGGAGGCTTAACCTCCTTGTCCCACGAACTTATTAATCACATGTGGTAGAGGATGTCCTCTAGAATCCTGCACGACTTATATTTTTAAATATATACCTTAAGAAATGTACGTTTTATAGTAAATTTTTATTTAATTTTTAAAATCGGGAATTAAAAATTATATTTTTAATTCTTATAATTTTTCTAATAATGTTAATTATAATTTTAATTATATTTTTAATTTTTCTATTTCATATATATATATATATATATATATATATATATATATATATATATATTTGATAAATCTCACGAATTTTATTGTGTAAATAGAGCTCTTTCACATTATTTTATACTGTTTCTTATAATTCTTATTTTCCTTATAATTCTCGATTAGAAGAATACATATGCAATGTGAAGTTCTAATGTCGCTACTAGAATTTATTTCAAAAATACAATTATAATTAATGAATAAATGATAATTTATTAATATACAATATATATAATAATTAATATTAATATATAAAATATAATTAATTTATAAAGTTACAGATTAATATGGATTACGAGCCACTACTAATACCATTATAATTAATATATAAAATATTGCAATTATAATTAATGAATGAATGATAATAATTAATATATAATATATATATATAATAATTAATTAATATTAATATATAAAATATAATTAATTTATGAAGTTGCAGATTATTTTATGGATTACGAGCCATCACTAATACTGTTTGTTTCTTTATTAACAGCCGTTTCAGAGATTTGTGCAGTCAGGCCGTGTGGCCTATGTGGGCGATGGGCCTCACCAGGGCAAACTTGTCACCATCGTTGATATTATTGATCAGAATCGGGTAAGAATATTTTTTTTTTTTTTATTAAATTGTATTTAAACTTTGCATTATAAATAATTCTAATATGAAATGATTTGCAGTAGGTTTATAATAAAAGATGTTGGTGATAGAACATTAGATTGTTGATTTCAATCGTGTGTTGATTGTAGATAATATTTCAAGGTTTACACACAAATAATAACTATAATTGTTCTTTGATCTATAACAAAGATAGATAAAGGATGTTCCCAAAAATTGTCTTGTTACTAACATTTCTTAATTACAATAAGCATAGCTTACTGCAAACTTACTTCATTTTCATGTTTCCTTATTCTTTTTATTATACTTGACTTAAATGATGAACCAGTAAATATGATAGGAAATGCCGGCTGATTTTAATGATGCCAACTTGCTTCTGATTGCATAATTATTGTGATTTCTCTAATAGTTTTATTAGAATTCAGAATTTAATTCTTTATTCTTTTTAAGGTTTTGGTCGATGGCCCATCAACAGGTGTACCTCGTTGTGAAATGAGGCTTAATGAGCTTCACTTGACAAAATTCCGAATACGTTTCCCATTCTCTGGATCCACTCGTGTCGTACGTAAAGCATGGGACGCGGCTGATATCAATGAATTGTGGAAACAAACAATGTGGGCCAGAAAAGTTGAAGCCAAAAAGAAGGTAATTCGAAAAATTCGCCAATTTTATCATCAATTAATATATTACATTAATATAATAGTATACAGGTTGGCCCCGAACGTTCCAGCCAGACTTTGAGATCTTATGAAATTTAATTCTGAACAAAAAATTTCCTATAAACACGGGTCGAAAAATGCTTCCTTAAGAAATTATTCGGCTCAGAAACCTCTGATGAAGGAAGAGCAAAAGGTGAAAAGAAAATGAAATAAAAAGAAAATGAAACTAAAGAAATTTCTTGAAAAAAACGATAAAAATAAAAAATAAAAATCTTTTTCTTTTATGAAAATAAAATAAAAGTTAATTTAAAAAAAATTATTTTATTTTCAAAAGAAAAAGATTTTTATTTTTTATTTTTATCGTTTTTTTCAAGAAATTTATTTAGTTTCATTTTCTTTTTATTTCATTTTCTTTTCACTTTTTGCTCTTCCTTCCTCAGAGGTTTTTGAGCGATAACTTCTTAAGGAAGCATTTATCGACTCATGTTTATACGAAATTTTTTGTTCAGAGTTAAATTTCCTATAAGATCTCAAAGTCTGGCTGGAACGTTCGGGGCCACCCTGTATAATATATACATTATTTATAATAAATAATATGTTGCATTCATATTTGATTTAAAAACCAATGCTTTGATATAACTTTGTTTCTCATTAAAAGAAAGAGAATATATGCCAAGTACATTTCATGTTATACTAGACTTCTATAAAATAGTTTAAATATATATGATGAACCAATATTATTGATAGGAATTGCCGACTGATTTCGATTGATGCTAATTTAATTCTGATGACAGAGTCACAATTTTAATAATATATTTTGCTGTATTTTGGTGCATTCTAAATGAAGAAATTTTCTTGTTTCAGCGTGCAGCACTTTGTGATTTTGATCGTTTCAAGCTGCGTAAAGCGAGGCAAATAAGAAATAAATTGCGGACAGACGCGTTTTACAGATTAAAAAAGAAAACCAAGAAGGTTAAAACTGGCGGTGCAGAAAAGAAGAGTACGAAAAAAGCTGAGAAAAAGTAACAACATTCTGAATTAAATACAAAATTATTTTACAAAGGTCTTGTTATTTATAGTACACCTTTCGCACACAATGAGAAATTATGAGACAAGAATCTTAACATATTAAAATTTGAATTTAAGCTTTGAAAGAATTATCATGACACAATTAGAAGTTTGGATGAGAAATAACAAAGGGAATTATAATTTTCCATCTCTATTTTTCAGTAAATTCTAATAACAAGTAAATAATCATATCTGTCATTACAATATATTTTAACATTGTTCGAATATATTGAATATATTAAAAAATTACAATTTTCAAATACATTGTATTGTGTTCAAAAAATTACAAAATTTTTAACATTTATATAAAAAATTTGTTACTTTTATTTAGTAAAATAAATTAATAAATTAAATATTTTAAATGATTTATTGACAATAAATATAAGAAGGGAACGCGAAAAGAGAAAATGCACACATATTATTGACATAAACAATAATTAAATTTTAATACATTAAAAGCTGTATCAGCAACATAATATTTTATTTATTAGCCAAAGGAAAAAACCATAATTAATATAAAATATAATAATAATATATCATTTATTATATTATTTAATTATCGTTCTTGGCTAAATAAACATTTTACATGCGATCCAATTATTTCTTACATAGTTATAGTTGGTCTATATGAAGTAATAATAAAAGGTACATGCTTTATTTATGTATACTAAAATAAAAATATAGTTGAAATTTAAATGTATCTTTCAGTCATTATTTCAGATATACCGACTGTAAGAAATAATTGAACTGTAAAATGTTTATTTAGGCAAGGAATTGAAAATAAAATTATTTCTTAAATATATCAGAAATAAAAGAGTTGTTTAATAATTTAGAGATTATTTTAAAGGAAAAGGTAAATAATTAAAGAAATATAATTTTAATTTGATTTTTTTCTGTTCCTCATTTTAGATGTTTAATTAGAGACGATTATTATTATTAAAAATATTTATAAATTTTATTTAAATATATCAGTATTACCATATTACTCCATTTTACTTTAACAGAAAACATAATTATATTTTTGATAAGATTAGAAATTGGCGGTATCAAAATATTTAAATAAGAATTTATATATTTTACTTTTTTAAATAAGGGGAAGGAAGAGAACAAACAGAAAACATATGTTTAGCGATTAATATTTATTCCTAAAACAAATATATTCTAAATATTTGAGTGTTGCATTATATTTTTATTTTTTTTATTCATTTATTTATATATAAATTATAATTTTATATATATATATATGTCAAATCTATGTACAATTAACACTTTGCGTTTCCTTATGAAAAACTAGCATAACAACTAAAAAAGAGGATATGAAAAAAAAATTCTTTTCTACTCTCAGTCATTGCATCGCGCTCGCAGGCGCGAATTGGAAGATGTGCGAATGCATTTTATAATTCAATTTGTGTAAACAATATCTATAATCATACGTGCAATTAGGTACGTTATACAGGGTGACTCCGAACGTTCCAGCTAGGCTTTGAGATCTTATAGGAAATTTAATTCTGAACAAAAAATTTCCCATAAACAAAAAAAAATGAATCGAAAAATACTTCTTTAAGAAGTTATCGCTCAAAAACCTCTGATGAAGGAAGAGCAAAAGGTGAAAAGAAAATGAAACTAAATAAATTTTCTTGAAAAAAACAATAAAAATAAAAATCTTTTTCTTTTATGAAAATAAAATAAAAGTTAGTTTAAAAAAATTATTTTATTTTCATAAAAAAAATTTTTTTATTTTTTATTTTTATCGTTTTTCTCAAGAAATTTATTTAGTTTCATTTTCTTTTCACCTTTTGCTCTTCCTTCATCAGAGGTTTTTGAGTGATAACTTCTTAAGGAAGCATTTTTCAACCCATGTTTATAGGAAATTTTTTGTTCAGAATCCATCCTGTATAATGATGGATACCGATGTTCAGAATCCATCCTGTATAATGATGGATACCGATTCGTATTCATAAAAATAATCTTTTTGTTTTTCGCGAGTATGAAGTAATTAAAGCATAATTAATTTTGTAAAAACATGATACTTTTATGTATATTATAAGAAAATTTGGATATACAAATGCACCCGGATACTGTTAACGCACCCGACTGTACAAGTTATTTATTTTACACGCATAGATCTAAAAAAAACTCCGTACGTTGTCCTCTGACGCGATTAATAAAGAGTTATTACCTCGATTAATCGTTATCGATGTCAGAACGCATTTAACGAAATTGCCATTTTTTTATACAGAAAAAAATTCAGTTTTCAGTCCATCGTTCGTCTCATCCTTGAAAATTTTTACAGAAAAATTGTGCACGCGCAGAATATCTAGATGACGATGCGTCAAATTGTAATTTTTGTAGATATTAATTACGATTTATTCGAATGCAATTTCGTAATCTCGATTTATGAAACTGCATTCGGAATAAAAGTCATTTGCACTTTTATCACTTAATTCCTTTCAGTCCCTTTCGTATAAGAAATACATATTAAACTTTGTACAAGAAAACTAATTTTTCACTAATTTTTCTCTAGATAATAATACTAGTAAATAGCAATTTTTTTCTACAAAGATAAAATGCTTGGCGAATAAAATTAATTTTTTTTCTAATTACGATCTTTTTAATTACTATCTTTGCTCGAAAGGATGAAAGAAATTTTTGTTGTTTAATAATAAATGTAGGGGGGAAAGTTATGTACAGATAATTAACAAATTTATTAACAAGATGTTTGAAATTCCCAAGAGAATGTATCGTGATGTTATAGTTGTCAAGCAACAGATTTATATGTAAATTTCAGATTTAATGATGAAAAATTAATCTTACTCGTTGCTTCCTTTTTTTTTTTTACATGAAAATTTTCGATTACGAGTCCTGTCAGCTGGGATATCTCGAAAGATATATTTAGCGTCTAATTATTGTTATAAAATATTGCTTTAAAAATACTTCATTCTCGATCACACATTGCGATCTGTAATCATTGTACATCCCAGTGAAAAGACGACACACTCGTCTTTTAAATATTTTCGGTACGTTGCTATAAATTACACTCTCCTTCAATATAATTCAAAATAATAAATCTAACGATTAAAAAAATATGTATAACGATAAAGAGCGGGGTGAAGGGGGATACGTTGCGATATCTTCTTTCTGATTCAAACATTCTCGATATCTCTTTCTTTTTTTTAGATCGATAGATTCTTTTTTTTTTTTTTTTAGATTTTTTAGATCGACATTATCGATATAACGAGTATAATCCGGATTTAACTCTTAATTGCGTAAATTTATTATACGTATTATTAAAATTAAATTACGATCACAGTGTGCGACAAATGAATTTCGAGAAGAACGAAAAATTCGAGGGAGAGAAAGAGACGATTAAAAAATGAAGAAAAGAAGAAAACGATTTTTAAAAAATGAAGAATGAAAAGGAAGAAAAAAGAAAATAAAGAATGAAAAAGAAGAAATCTTAACATTTGACATACACATCATACGAAATAGAGAGAGAGAGAGAGAGAGAGAGAGAGAGAGACGATTAAAAAATGAAAAAAAGAAGAAAACGATTTTTAAAAAATGAATGAAAAGGAAGAAAAAAATAAAGAAAAGAGAAAATGAAGAATGAAAAGAAAGAAATCTTAATTTCTCTCATTTGATATACACATCATACGATGAGAGAGAGAGAGAGAGAGAGAGAGAGAGAGAGAAAGATTAAAAAATGAAGAAAAGAAGAAAATGATTTTTAAAAAATGAAGAATGAAAAAGAAGAAAAAAGTGAAGAAAAAAAAATAAAGAATGAAAAGGAAAATATCTTAACATTTGACGTACACATCATACGATTCGAGAGAGAGAGAGAGAGAGAGAGAGAGAGAGAGAGAGAGGAAGAGGGGGAGAGAGAGAGAGACGATTGAAAAAAGAAGAAATGAAGAAAGGAAGAAAATTTATTTTTAAAAAATGAAGAAAAGAAAAAATAAAGAATGAAAAGAAAGAAAAAAACGAAGAAAAGAAAAATGAAAAGGAAGAAATCTTAATATTTGACATACACGTCATACGATGAGAGATAGAGAGGGCGAGGGACAATTAAAAAAGAAGAAATGAAGAAAAAGGTTTAAAAAAAAAGAAGAATGAAAAGGAAGAAATCTTAACATTTGACATACACACCATACGAACTCGAGGAGAGGATCAGAAAATTTCAAGGGATAAAAGTCATCGCCACCATTCAATTCATCCCCTCGCTCTCAGTTGTTCTTGCCGCTGTTTAGAGTGACGTCTAAAGGCTCGTCCAGGTTTTGCTGAGGACTGCTCGCTACATGATGATGAAACAGGGTGGCGACCTGCCTAGTAGACGCATGATGGTGGCCCTTGAGAGTGAGGTCCATCTCGGCTTCTTGCGGCCGCTCCCTCGTCGCCAGGATATCCACCGGACTCGAGCAGATCCTCGGCGGCGTCCCGCATCGACACTTGATCCTGTCGGGCGATTTGTCGCAAGGTACCGAATATCTGGAAGAAACGACTAGTGTTCTCCTTAGATAATCTCAAGATTCGTCTAGATGAAGACGAAATGAAGCATTTAAGGTAAGATAAGGATTGTTTCATTATAAATTTATCTAGATGAAAGGTGAGATTATAAAGGGCAATTTAAAAAAAAAATATTTAGCTATTTTTATACAGTGTGTCCCAAAAGTCCCGGACCGGTCGAATATTTCATAAACTATGCACTTTAGAAAGAAATGTTTCAGATAAAAGTTGTATCGCTTGAAGGGAGCCATCAGATAGTGGCAATGATTTGACATGGGAGAGTCATTTGAAAGTCACGTGAAGATCACCGTTTAATTTCTTAAATGGAACTCCCTATTTTTTATTAAATATTTTGGTAGTTCACGTCGAAAGCTTTCCAAAACACTATAATTAAGTTAGTTTTCATTAAGTACTTTCCGAATTATGAGGCTTGAAATCATTTCTTAATTTTACTTAATAAACCATAAAATATCTTGCAAAATATTCATTTTTCGATTATCTTATCTTAATACTTTTATGTACAAAATAATGAGAGGAATCAATTGGTGTAAAGAAAAAACATAGTTGTTTTTAAGAAAAAAAAATATGTAATTTGCAATTAACAATTACATTTTTTTTTAAAAAACAACTATGTGTTTTCTTTACACCAATTGATTCCTCTCATTATTTTGTACATAAAAGTATTAAGGTAAGATAAGGTAAGATAATCGAAAAATGAATATTTTACTAGATATTTTATGGTTTATGCAAAATTAAGAAATGATTTCAAGCCTCATAACTCGAAAAGTACTCAATGAAGAAATATTTTATTATAGTGTTTTGGAAAGCTCTCGACATGAGCTACCAGAATATTTAATGAAAAATAGGGACTTCCATTTAAGAAATTGACGGTGATCTTCTAGTGACTTTCAAATGATTCTGCCATGTCAAATCATTGCCACTATCTGATGGCCCCCTTCAAGCCATACAACTTTTGTCTGAAACATTTCTTTCTAAAGTACATAGTTTATGAAATATTCGATCAGTCCGGGACTTTTAGGACACCCTGTATATTTTATAAAAAGTAGCTAAATATTTTTTTAAAATTAGGAACACTTACCCGGGCGGGGGTGGGGGCAGGATTCTGAAGTCTCTGCAGACCGACACGGGACCGCCGGTCTCGGGCAGCTTGTCGCTCGCGGTCGGCGAACTCGTGAGGGCTGACGAGGACGACGGCGAAGTGGAGGAAGACGCATCGGTGGTGGTCCTCTCGGTGGTGAGGCCACTGGGACTGACGGGGGGCGGTCGGCCGAGCAGCAACGGCGTGGCGCTTCCTAAACCCAAGCATCGCATTCTCCACGCGTCCTGCAGCAATTGTAACCGAGCTTGCTTTCTCCACTTTGCCCGTCTGTTTTGAAACCATACCTGCGAAGGAATCGACTCATCTCACCGTTTCCGTAATCTCGCCCTCTCCGCCCTCACCCCTTCAACGCTTCAACCCCTCTTGGAAGCATTTGAACGACGATACAGCGATATGATCAGGACAATCCCGTGTGTGTATATTCGATATGTTCTACGAGATTATCTTAACATTCAGGCAAGGTTGGCAAAAAACTTGTTTTTTTTTTTATTTTAAACAAAAAACGTTTTTTTTGTTTAGAACAATGTTTTTTGTTTTATTTGTTTTTAAGTAAAGCAAAAAAAAAACATGTTTTAAACAAAAAAAGCATGTTTTAAACAAGCAAAAAACACTTCATAGCTTTGATCTGTAAATATTTAAATTTTTCGCTAGCGTTAAACTGTAAATAACGTTGCCAAAATTGACAACGCTATTAAAAATATAAATAATAAAATAAAAATGATAAGATGGGTATTATTTTAGCAGAATATTTATTTTTAGAGTTATTTATTTTTGGAGAAAAAAAGTTCTAGTTAATAATATTTAATATATAATACTTTGATTCCTTTCCTATTCTTATTAAGTTACTTTATGCTTAACTCTCAACATAAATTATAAATAAAATAAAAATAAAAAACCTCAATTCTTCTTTTTAAAAGAAGAACTTTTTTTTAGAACTACTGACCTGCTATGAGTTATGTACTATTAATTTGAAATGCTAAAATGTAAAATGTAAAGTCAGTCAATATTTTCTAAGTAATCTTTATTGTATTGATTGTTATATAATATCCAAAAATAAATATTCTGCTAAAAAGATACCCATCTTATCATTTTTATTTTATTATTTATATTTTTATATCTATATATTACATAAATATAGATAAAAAACTAAAATCACTAAAACAAAAACTTTTTTGCAACATACTCATCTATTAGTTTTTATTTGTTTTTAATTTTTTTTATAATTTCTTTTCCAAATAATCATATATTTTATTTGCGATATTTTAAACGGTTCTAAACAATAGTTTAAAACAGTTTAAAACAAAAATGTTTAAAACAGTGTCCACTGTTTTACACAAGTTTTAATCAAACAGTTTTAAACACATTGTTTAAAACATGCCAACCTTGCATTCAGGGATAATCGCAAATTATTTTCGAAAATTCCGAATGTCAAAAATAAGAATTTTGATGTCGCAGAGAAAGTGCGTCTTTTAAATGGTTTTAATTAAAAATAGGATTGCACCAAGATTAATATTGATATTGATCTTGTCCTAGCTTGAATTCTGAGAATTTATAACAAAATTTGTAATTAATTATCAGGATAATACAAAGATTAATATAATAAAAAAATAGAATTGTCAAGATTATTTTTAAAGACGTTTTTTAAGAAAAGCTAAGATATATACATTTGTAAATTAGATGAGAAAATATTATTATGATATACGAATTTTATTTAATAAATAAAAATATTTATATTAATAAAACATGTATAATAATTTATATTAATAAAAAATATATCTTTTTTTTTAAATGAACAAATGACATAAATACTAGCAATTTTTTATTCTAAATTATATAATAAAAATTATTATATAATAAATATTATATTATATATTATATAATATATAACAAAAATTATGTTAAATATATTATTTTAAACAATCGTTGAACATTAGATAAAACTTGTTAATAAAATCAGACAATACACAACGAGATTTTTGCTACAAAGCTCGATTTATTCAAGATCGGGATTAAATTTATTTTATGAATATTGTCTTTTGAATTTTGTGCAACCCTAATTAAAAGATTTCTGCACTTCTGACTTGTTATCGACTTTCTATTATACAATATCTATCTAAAAAAAAAGAAAAAAAAAGAATCTCTTATCTCTTAGAAAATATGATTGTGCTTGCGCGACAAAATTACCCTCGCGTATTGATTAAATTTGTCGCGGGGATTCTCTGCTGCAACCACCGCCAATTTACTAAAGATCCCGTATAGTTGACCCTTTACGCACTCTGTCGAGATTCGCGGCTGACGAGACTCGAAAGCATTAATCGAATTTACTTGATGAACTTCCGAGTCTCTCTCTTTCTCTCTTTCGCATCCACTTGTGTATTCCTTACACAGATTTGCCCGGTCATTTCATCAGCGTTCGCCTAATCGTTTTCGCACAATGGCCCAGGCGCGTAATAGCCAGATGTACGCGCGGCCTTTGTGATACGATCGCAGATCGACGAGTTTTGTTCGTATTCTGATATCAATTAATGAATCGAAACATCTGCGCGACTGACTTGACCCGATTGAGGCCCGTTGCTCCGTTGATTTCTGTTATTGTACAGGGGAAAAAATTAATTAATCGATCAAAGATTTAGTATGATTACTGATTTAAATCAATTAAACAATATCACATCCGCTTGTCGTATAATCAAATTATAAAAAATTAATTTTTTATTTAATTAATTAATTTTTTAAAAATAAAAACAGAAAAAGATCACTTTCCCTCTTGAAAAAAAAAGGAAATTTCGAAATGCGCGATGTAGCAATTTTATTTCGAAATATATATAAGTTTTAGAGAATAAATAAATATTTAGATATGCAAAAAATATATTTGAAAAAATCGCATATAAAATAACATAAAAAGATTATAATAACTATTTATATGTATTTATGTGTATTTATTTCTAGTTTTCTTTCATAATTAAAGTATGATTACTGATTTAAATCAATTAAATAATATCACATCCGCTTGTCGTATAATCAAATTACAAAAAATTAATTTTTTATTTAATTAATTAATTTTTTAAAAATGAAAACAGAAAAAGATCACTTTCCCTCTTGAAAAAAAAGGAAATTTCGAAATGCGTGATGTAGCAATTTTATTTCGAAATATATATAAGTTTTAGAGGATAAATAAATATTTAGGTACGCAAAAAATATATTTGAAAAAAATCGCATATAAAATAACATAAAAAGATTATAATAACTATTTATATGTATTTATGTGTATTTATTTCTAGTTTTCTTTCATAGTTAAAGTATGATTATTGATTTAAATCAATTAAACAATATCACATCCGCTTGTTGTATAATCAAATTACAAATAATTAATTTTTTAAAAATAAAAACAGAAAAAGATCACTTTCCCTCTTGAAAAAAAAGGAAATTTCGAAATGCGTGATGTAGCAATTTTATTTCGTAATATATATAAGTATATATAAATATATTTTAGAGGATAAATAAATATTTAGATACGCAAAAAATATATTTGAAAAAATCGAATATAAAATAACATAAAAAAATTATAATAACTATTTATATGTTTCTAATTTTCTTTCATAATTAAATCGAAAAATATACATCGACTCGCATAATATTCTGTACGTATTTGATATTTTATTATAAACGTATATTTCATAATATTTGTGTGTAATGTATGAAATGTCAATGCGGTCAATAGAGAAAATTAGATGCACCGAAATAAATTGACGCCATTAATCAAAGTTTGGCGGATTCGGAAAGCGAATAAACCGCGCGTGTTTTTCGCGAAATAGTTTATTTGGGCTTTAATTAGTGAACGGTTTTAGGGAATGAAGTAATCCCCCGTTGGGGAGAGATATTTCGTAGATTTTGAGGTTGTAAGTTTTCTTAACCCTTTGAATGTCTGCGAGTCGAGAAAGCAAAAGCGAGCATTACCTTTTATCTCGGATAGTTTTTCAGATAAAAGAGCAATGTGCGTCTTTCTAAGCCAAAATACTGAAATTAAGAATGTTTAAATTTATCGTCAATATTATGGATTAAAGATTTATAAAGCTCCTTCTTTTTAAAGAAATTTGTTTTTTCTTTTTAATTTTTGTTTTTATCAAATTAAAAGTCATTTCCGAATCAACACTTTTCGCTTAAAATTAAAATTGTTTGGATTAAAGATTTATAAAGCTCCTCTCTTCTAAAGAAAATTGTTGTTTGTTTTTAATTTTTTTTTAATCAAATTAAAAATCATCTCCGAATTAATACTTTTCGCTTAAAATTAAAATTTTTTGGATTAAAAATTTGTAAAGATTCTTTCTTCTAAAGAAAATTATTTTTCTTTAATTTTCATTTTTAATCAAATTAAAAATTATCTCCGAATCAACACTTTTCGCTTAAAATTAAAATTGTTTGGATTAAAGATTTATAAAGCTCCTCTCTTCTAAAGAAAATTGTTTTTCTTTAATTTTCTTTTTTGATCAAATTAAAAATCATATCCTAATCAACACTTTTCGCTTAAAATTAAAATTTTTTAGATTAAAAATTTATAAAGTTTCTCTCTTCTAAAGAAAATTGTTTTTTCTTTAATTTTTTTTTAATCAAATTAAAAATCATCTCCGAATCAAAACACTTTTCGATTAAAATTAAAATTTTTCACTATAAGTAAAAATTTCTCTTTGCGTGTAAAGTCCTACGTTTTTATCTCTCATTTTTCGTCTTTTTTAATAGCGTGTTTCGTTCGTTAATTAATTAGATATTTGTAATGAAATTTTGAGGTAATACGTTTTTAATTCCACTGGGAAAACTGACTTGTATATAATTACATTATTAGATAGAAGCACGAAGGGAAGGGAAAGAGCGTTAATATAATAAATAAAAGAACTAATTAAGTAAGTGAAATCAACAAAATGGTCGCAATGTAAATTCACCTGAACACGTGCTTCCGAGAGTGATATCCGAAGTGCGACTTCCTCTCTAAGGAAAACATCGGGATAATGCGTTTTCTGGAAGAGAGATTCCAATTCCTGCAGCTGTTGTGGTGTGAATGTTGTTCGATTGCGTCTCTGCTTGAAAAAGTTACGAAAATTCGAATGTCACATATGTCGCCAAAATTCTTCTAATCTTACATATTTTATTAAAATATTTAGCGATTTTTAATCGTCAAAATTCTTTTAATCTTACACATTTTACTAGAATATTTAACGGCTTTTAATCGCGCAGCGCGTGATAAGAAAATCATACTTTATATATATATATTTCTTTTTTCCTTTTTCAATAATAACATATTTTTTCACTTTTCCAAATTTTGCTTCAAAGAAAAAGATGATGCAAAAATTATTTTTCAATTCTTTGTCTTTTTATATAAATTTTTCAATTCTTCTTATTTATAAAAAAGTGAAAAATTGAAAAATAATTTTTGCATTCTTTTTTTTAGAAAAAAACAAATTTGAAGAAATGAGAGAAAAATTGTTTTCATATTTTATCAAATTTAAAATGATATTACATAATGATTAATAATTTTTTTCACTTCTTCAAATTTCAGTTTTTCTGAAAAGGATGATGCAAAATTATATTTTCTTCTAATTACTTTTTAATTAGTTTTCTTATTATTTTTTTTATACGAACAGAGATTATACAAAAGCATATGTAGCATAAGAAAGCATATGTGTGTGGATTTATTTTATATATAATTACATGTATATTGTAGACTTCTTTTCCGAGCTATTCATTATAAGTAAAATATGAAATATTTTTCTCATTTATCGTATCGAAGCCATCTTTTTTTCTACGAACATCATTACTCGTCGTTAGACATTTAATTTCACAATTTTTACGCGATTTATTTAATAAAAAAATGAAATAAAATTGAATTATCTCCGAGTTTTATTTGTCATTTTCACATTTTTCAATGTTTCAAAATTTTATCTCATATCGTAAAAAAAACCTCTAAAAAGATTGCGAGTGTTCGAACAAATATTCAAGATATCCAAGTATTTCTCTTTATCCTTTTTTATTCAAGAAACGGAGTCCTAGGATAGTTTCCAAGAATCTGATAGCGTTAACCGCCCTAACAGCACATGTAGATACCGAGAATGTTCGAAGAATATCGCAAAAGTACAATGCATATATTCTCAGAACATTCGAGTTACATACTATGATATATTAAATATATACTAAGTCTGCTCTAATGTCCGCCTATTTTGGTTAATAGTAAATACTGAGAATATCTTGTAGTATAATTCATACATGTAATATAAATACTTTTGATAAATGCCGTAAACGCACACACTATTTCTCATTTTAATTTCAAATAATCTTTTTAATATTTTGAATCCCAACCAGAAATCCAGAACAACTAAACTACTAAACAAACTTTAAATTAAATCAGTTTATTATAAATTAAACTGACTAAAAAGAAAAAAGAAGAAACTTTGGAACTCATGTTAGTACCAGTCCTTTATTTCCTTTATTTTACCAAAAGTTAAGTACGAGTTTGATAGCGCGCGTAGCGGCAAAATGAGGAAACACATGCAATATTATAGAATATCCTGAAAATATACGAGAAAGAATATACTAATACGAAGTATTCAAAGTATATTCTGAGAATATATGAAAAATAATATACAACCAGAGATGTTATGGGATCATTCTCAGTATATTACATCTGTAACGTATATTTATAGTATGAGTATAGAATATTCGAATGATATCATGTGCTGTTAGGGCAGGTACCAAATTCCCAAGGTGCACTCGATCAACGACGCCCGGACAAGAATATGATTGAATATGAAATGAAGAGAAACGTACACTGACCTGACGACGGCGGCCGAACATGTACTCGGTTAACAAGTCAGCTTGGGGCCCGAGGGGCGACAGATACGGGCCCGCCATGGCGGGCGACCGCGGGGGCCCTCCCTATATTTATTGGCGCTCCTCCTTTCCTCCTGATCGCTCCTCGCGAGGACGAAGACGAAGGACGACGATCCTCTCCTGAACTCGGGGAGCCTCACTATCGCAGCAAGAGGACGACGGGCCGCTCGTCCAGCGCGAACATGGCGAAAGTACTGCGGAGGAGAATCGTCGCGCTCGGGAGGGTGAGCGCGCGGTTGGCGAGTAGCCAGCGGGAGGGGATAGCCACCCCTCCATCCTCGCCTGCCATTGGCCGCGCGGCTCCGGGGGGCGGTCCCGCCGCGCTAAGAATCGCGCACACCCCTCCGCGAGGGGTGAGAGATTCGGCTACGTTGAAAATCCGCTAAATCGCGGTCTGCGCTCTCCTCCTCCTTCTTCTCTCCCCTTTCTCTCCGCGTGTGTTTTGTGCTTCTCACCCCCGCTGTCTTCCGCCCTTTCCCCCACCCCCTCTGTCTCTCTCCCTCCTTCTCCTTTTTCTCGCTTTTACTCTTTCTTCGTCATTCTTCGTCCGCGTTCCGTTCGCGCTTTACTCGCTTCTTTACCCGTTTTGTGCCCCTTTTCTTCTTGCCAACGTGTGTTTTACTTTTTATTTCATTTCTTTTTGTCTCCCGCTTTTCTTACTCCTCGCCTGCTTCCCCGTCGAGACGGAAATAAGCTCGATCGCTCGGCAAGGGGATTTTCTTCGACTTCCTCCAGGGGCAAAAATCCTGAAAACGCATCGGGACGCAGATGGCACCGATAGACCTCGGACGTAAGTGTGTACATATATTATGCATTAAACGTAGCAAAATTTGTATACACATTTTTTAATTTATAGGACATTCTTTGACATTCTTTCCGTCGCAAATAAAATGATGAATTAAAAAAAATGTAGATTTTTCCACATGTATTTCGAAAATTCGTCCGAAATCGAGGGACTTGGAAATTGAATTTTTCAAATTTCTACTCAGCAGCATTTGTTAGTTTCCTCTTTTCATTTTCACTTGAGAAATAATTTGAAAATGAAATAATTTTGTTGTTTTTTCTTATATTTTGATTTCTGGTACATGTATATTGTAGAAAATAAAAAGTTAGACTCCGGATTTTTTTTATTCATCTTTTTATTAATTAGCTAAGACTCTTTTTGATAAGAAAATCGATCAGAAATACAAGTGCTTAAAAAAAAGATTAAATACTTTAAGGGAAATTTGTATTCCTAAAAGCAAGTCGAAAAAAATCTAAATAAAATATCCGCAAATAATCAGTTTTTGAGATACTTTTATTTTTTTTGTGTTTAACATTTTTATTTTTTTATAGTTTTATTATTTTTATTTTTATTATAATTTATGCAATAAATAATATTGCTGGTGTTTTGCTTTATTTTATTAGAGAGGATAATTATCTTTTTGCATGTCTACACAGATCAAATACTGCATCAAATTCAGATTTCTGACTTGTTTCCTTAAAATCCATCTGCAAAAATTTTGCCAATTGTGCAACAATTTAGTGGCAAATTTAGTACCTGAATTTACTGGATTAATAAATAAAAATATCAAAAACAAGAGAAATAAGAAAATAAAAATATCTGAAAAACAACTTATTTGCGGACTCATATTTATTAAGACTTTTTAACTTATTTTGGGGCTTATTAAATTCCTCTAAAATATTTAATCCTTTTCTTAAAAAATGCTATATATTAGATTTACGGAAATATACTGCGCGCTTTTATATCGTCTACAGTTGACGACAAGATTGAAGGACAGAGACATGCGTGGTTAGATGCTTTCTCTATCACACAATCCTCCGGGAAGGGATGATGTAGGGGAAATAAGAGTGCGTATGAAGCGAGCGTTTCTCTTCTTTTTTTCTCCCTACCAATCGAATAAGAAAAGCATCTAACTCTTTATTGTTTTCTCATAACAATATTGTCTTCAACCCTCAATAGGAACGTAATTTATAGATCTGATAGATATAAAAATATTATATAGATATAAAAATTTCAATGTTGTAACTAGTTTGTAAATATTAGAACGCATTTTTAGTCTTTGCTCTCTTTTAGGCACAATAAAAGCAATGCCCAGACTTTCTAACTTGACTCTTTATAAAAAAAATATGCGTTTTGCATGTGTATTATGTAGATATTTTTGTGTTCTTAAAATCTGGGTTGAAGTTATTTTATGAAAGTAACTTTCGTTATTGTTGACGTTATTTAAAAAGTAATGAATTGTTACAATTTTCATCATTTCAAAAGATCAAATTATATATAAAATGTACATATGTAAAATTTACATTTGTTATAAGCATTTTATTTGTATTAAAATATATTTATTTGTATTAAAATGTAATTAAAAACTGCTATTTGATATTAATATTACTATCAATATAGTGTAAAAATTTAGATAAAATTTGAATTTATATTTTCATCAGAAAAATCTACAAAAAAATCTTTTTTTTATCAAGATCTCCAATTCTGAAAATATAAAGTAAAAAAGATATTTTCTTAGTTTTTTAAAATTTTTCTAATAGATTCGTCAATATAACTAAAATCCTCTTTTTTTCTCAAATTACATATATATTTTTGAGTATGATTTGAAAGTTATTAAGATAGAAATTGTGTATCTATTAATTTCTCAAAAAATTAAACGCTCCTTATATATATTTCGATGGGAAATCATGCCGTGTAAATTAAAAAAATAACTATTGAATTCGTTGCTCGTTATCGAAAAATGTAACAAAAGTTACATTCCGAACGAATCTTGTAACGCGCGTTCCCTCATTCTTACCCAAAGTAAATGTGTAAAATTTTTTTCTCATAAAAAAATATAAAATATGATGATTTTGTTGAAAACGGAGCCAGAGAAAGAAAATTAATAACGTTTCTTTTTTATAACCCCAACATTTTTCTTCGAAAGGAAAAATCAAATATTCCTCTCGGAGGGCTAATAAATAAAATCGTGCGCCTCCCTCCCGCTTTTGTCGCACGTTGCATGTGCGCCCAAATGATCGACGAATCGACAAGCGCGGCGTGAAGGGGTATCCGTTAAATTCGCTGTAAATTAGCGACGATGTATTTTGCCTCTCGGTAATCACATCCACGCCGAAGGGCGAATAAATATGCAATTATTTGATTGATGCAATTCGTATACTTGATACACAGTATATATTGTATAGTACTCGTCTCCCTGGAGTGCGCCCATTTACGTTTTCCCCGAGCTCGCATTCCTTTGATACGCGGCGCATTGATTGCAAACGAGGAGACATTGCGGGTTTCTGTGTTTTTATCTTCCTTCTCTCTTTTCTTCTCAATTAGAACAAACGATAGGCGAAATTCAATAAAGATATCTGTCCCAGTTGCCGACATCTTCCCAGAACATTGTTGTAACATTGCAGCAATATTGCTGTTACAACAATGTGCAATGTTACAATTCTGTGATGTATGCCCAGCAAACACCAAATAATAGTTATATAACTGTTGGTTACACCGAGAAAAAAATTTAATTGCATTAATTAGAATTCTGGTAGAATTCAACCAGTATGTCTGTTGGAAAATGGACGAACCAGAATTCTTGTAGGAATTGCCAGATGAATCTGATTAATTTCTTCCTGTTAAATTTACCAAATTTTCTGATTAATAATACTAAACTCGCCAGCACCAAGTCGTCTAAAATTTTTTCCATCTATTCTCAAAAATCTGTTTAATATTCTGAATTCCAACAAGATTATTGGATAAATTCAATCCAGATTATTAAATAAATTATTTTAAATTCAGTTTGTTAGAAATTAAACTGCACCGAGAAAAAAATCTGATTGGATTAATTAGAATTCTGGTAGATTCAACCAGTATGTCTGTTGGAAAATGGACGAACCAGAATTCTTGTAGGAATTGCCAGATGAATCTGATTAATTTCTTCCTGTTAAATTTACCAAATTTTCTGGTTAATAATACTAAACTCGCCAGCACCAAGTCGTCTAAAATTTTTTCCATCTAATCTCAAAAGTCTGTTTAATATTCTGAATTCCAACAAGATTATTGGATAAATTCAATCCAGATTATTAAATAAATTATTTTAAGTTCAGTTTGTTAGAAATTAAACTGCATTGAGATAAAATCTGGTTGCATTAATTAGAATTCTGGTAGATTCAACTAGTATGTCTGTTGGAAAATGGACGAACCAGAATTCTTGTAGGAATTGCCAGATGAATCTGATTAATTTCTTCCTGTTAAATTTACCAAATTTTCTGATTAATAATACTAAACTCGCCAGCACCAAGTCGTCTAAAATTTTTTCCATCTAATCTCAAAAATCTGTTTAATATTCTGAATTCCAACAAGATTGTTGGATAAATTCAATCCAGATTATTGAATAAATTATTTTAAATTCAGTTTGTTAGAAATTAAACTGCACTGAGAAAAAAATCTGGTTGCATTAATTAGAATTCTGGTAGATTCAACCAGTATGTCTGTTGGAAAATGGACGAACCAGAATTCTTGTAGGAATTGCCAGATGAATCTGATTAATTTTTTTCTGTTAAATTTACCAAATTTTCTGGTTAATAATACTAAACTCGCCAGCACCAAGTCGTCTAAAATTTTTTCCATCTAATCTCAAAAGTCTGTTTAATATTCTGAATTCCAACAAGATTATTGGATAAATTCAATCCAGATTATTGAAGAAATTATTTTAAATTCAGTTTGTTAAAAATTAAACTGATAAACAGATGCAAGAAGAGGATGCAGCTCAAACATACACAATCAGAAAGCTAGCGTCCTCTTTCTCGCTACTGCTCGTAAGAGAAAAAAAATATACTTTGGATTTAACGTTAATACTAGTTCTTTATGTACATTTTATGGTAAGTATTGAATACGAGTTAAGTTAAGAATGGGTCGCCGCCTAGTGGCAAGCAAAGAAATTAATGTAACAAAAAATTTTATAGATCCAACCAGAAAATACTAACCAACCAAATCCTTATAGTAAAATTCATTAAACGTTCTAGTTATAAAAAATCGAGTCTTATCATGATAACTAGAAATTCTTGTTTGATTTAACCAAAATTCTTTCCATCATATACGTCTTGTTGGTACAATCAAACGATTTTTCTCAGTGTACAATTTCCCACTCAACAATATAATTATAACATGTTATGTTACATAACATTACACTCAGGCACTCTCTTTCGCTCTCTCTCTCTCGATCGACTCCGGAAAACCATTGTGATCTCAGATTCGATCACTCGCGCGTCAGAGTTGATTAAAACATTTTAATATGTCTGCCTGTTTCTAAAGACGACGTGGTATTAACACGGGTTATTGAATTC